AGTGGTGATTTTTGGATTTTTGCTTTTTTTTAATAGGAGTGGATTTTTTTGCTATTGATTAAGGTAAATCTACAAATTGGGATGTTAGTTTTTTCAGATTTTTACTAATTTTTTTCTTTTTTTAATAGAAATAGACTTATTGCTATTGATTAAGGTAAGTCTACAAATCGGGATAGTTGTTTTTTGGATTTTTACTAATTTTTTTTCTTTTATGACTATTTTGCTATTGGTTAAGATGAGTCTACAAATCGGGATGGTTGTTTTTTAAATTTTTATTAATTTTTTTCTTTTTTTAATAAAAATAAACTTTTTTGCTATTGGTTAAGATAAGTTTATAAATCGAAATGGTTGTTTTTTTCAGATTTACTAATTATTTTATTCTTTTTATTAAGAGTAGACTTTTCTTGCTATTAACTAAAGATGGTACTGTAATTAAAAAGTTGCAACTCGGTAAGTTGCAACTCCTTGTAAAATTTATTTTAATATAAAAATTCATAAATAGTTGCAACTAGTTAAAAATTTTAAAATTAATTATAGCTCTATCTTTAATATACATTATTATTGAAAAATAATAAAAAATATTATTTTTAATTAAAATATCATTTCAAATGTTTCAGATATATATTATTATTGAAAAAAATAGTAAAAATATTATTTTTTCAACAAAAATACTATTTTGAATATTTAGGATGTGCATAATTGTTGAAAAAACAATAAGATTATTTTTTTACAATATAATACTATTCTGAATATTAGTGGTATAAAATTGTTAAAAAAATATTTTTTTGTTTTTTAATAGTAATATACAATTCTGAATATCAAAGGCTTATTATTGTTAAAAAATAATAATAATATGTTTTTTAAATAGTAAAATATTATACCAAATATTAGAGATGCATTATTGTTTAAATAATAATAATAATATGTTTTTTTAAACAGTAAAATGTTGTACCAAATATTAAAGATGCATTATTGTTTAAAAGTAATAATAATATTATTTTTTAAATAAAATGATATTCAGAATATTGTAAGCAGCATTATTGCTAATAAAGTATATATAAGCAACTTATATTATTTAAAACCTAAAATTTTTTTTGATCCTTCAGATTTGAATTCAGATACAGATTCAGATACAAATATAGATACAGATAGGAAAGGATCAGAAATGACGTCATTTTAAAAGAGAGGGAAAGAGGTTCAATTTATAATAACGTTTACAAATTATACTATATGTTAATAATATATTTTCTAAAATGGATGATAGTAAAAAGGGTCAAAATTTCTAATTTAGATTTGTCAGATTCAGATTGAATTAAATTCAGAATTTTTAGATTTAGATTAAATCAGATTTTGCTCAAATCTGATCTGATCTGATTTGTGTAGAATATTAAAGTCAAGTCAAAATATTTTGACTCGTTAACTTGAATTAACTTCAAGTTAAGCCTAATTTGATTTGAGATAACTTAAGCTAAAAGTTGAGCAAAATTTATATCTAAAGTCAAGTAAAACTCAAGTCTAAATTCAAGCTAAATTCAAGTAAAAATTTAACAATTTTTTTTATAAAAAATATAAAAAATCATTTCAATAGAATAATATATATCATTCTAAAGGAATAATAAAAATTTTGTTTTAATAGAATAATAAATCTTCATTTTAAAGGAATGATAAAAAAAATCATTTTAATATATTAATAGTATATTATTCTTATGGAATAATAAAAGAATTATTCTGATAGGATGATAATATATTATTCTAAACTTTAGAATAATAATTTATTGTTCTATTAGAATGATTTTTTTATCATTCTTTTAGAATGATCTTTTATTATTCTATTAGAATATATTGTCTATTATACCTTTATTTATTATTTATAACTCTATATTTTGTTAATTATTTATTAAAGAAATTATCACATCTGATCCTAAGTAAATGTCTGGTTAAATCGCATAAAAATAATAGGTCATATCAATAACATATTTGGATAATAGAATTAAAGTTCCAAATGAGAACAAGTTTTTATTGAACTTAACTTGACTTGAAAAAATCAAGTTGAAAAAATTTTTAAATCTCAACTTGACTTGACTTGAGTTATATGTAGTTTCTAGTAGCCTTATTAAGCAAAATAAAATCAAAAGGCAGTTAATCAAGTTATATATGAGGTTTTAGTATGTAGAATGATCAAAAAAAGAGGAAACACAAGGTGAAATGTTCTTATAAAAAATCAAAGCATCTCCAAATTAGTCTTGGTGATATTTTGTTAAATGATTTCAAACTTAGTAAAAAAGACAACTGAGAAGAAGAGGACAACCTTAACAACTTAAAGTAGAGGATGATAAAGAGTATAATAAAGATTTAGATTATGATAATTTGGAATATACCAAGAATTACCAGATATCTAAGGTTTCTGAGCTGCAGAGTATCACAAGCAAATCAAAACTTCTAAAATAATTGAAAATATATTTATGTTTCAGCAGAGATTCCTTATAGGTCTAGTAAATGGTTAGAATTGTTTCGGTTCATGAATATGGTGACCTCGTGATTATTGTGGATGATTGTAATATGAAGCATATTTTTAGACCAGTCATAAAGAAGCTAGTGGAAAATCTTAGCGAATATGTTCACAATTGCAACAAAATACATTATAATGTCTAATTTTTTCTATGAAAAGTGCAAAATCAAGAAAATCTGATGGTAGTACCAAAACTTACTTCGTCATCAAATGCATGAATTGTTCATCGGCTGAATCAATGACGAAAAATTTTATTTTATACGCCCACGTGTTAAGAACAAAAAATGTTTATTTGCGAATAAATTTATCATGATTATGCATATACTAATAAACACGCGTACTAGTTAATCATTCGAAAACATGTAAAACGAAGACAAATAGTAAAATTTTATAGTTGTGATGTGATCATCACGAAGCCAGATACTCTTTTAAAATTAAACTCGTGTTATATCTCTTTAACAAGTAAATTTACTGATTATGTAAATACCAATCATTTCATTTTGCTTATAAAGGGTCATTAACACATGCAAAGATCAAATTAAATCGTATGGAAAAAAAGGGTCATAATAAGAAAGAGGGTTTAGATATACTGTATATAAATCAATCGTAGCACTTTGCTTTTTACTCATCATCATATTCTTTCATATCTAACATCCAAAAATCAAGTGAAATGAAATTTAAACTTGTATAATATCTTTATGGTTTTAATTGCTTTTTTTTTTACGCTTCTTTTACATTTAGGGATATTACTTTCTTCGCTCTTCTATTACCTTACCTTTTCACCTTTCCTTTCGCAAAGTAGTAATATGGAGAATAGGTTCGTAACTTTTTAAGAATATTTTTTTATATTTGACTTATCTTTTTATTATTTTACACTTTTCACTTTTTTTTTATTTTAATTATAGTGTCTTTTATGTCGCACTTGGCCTTTTCCTGCGATAATATTATTAGTATAAAAAAAATATAGGTGATAATTAGCAACTTATAATATCACTTGCTATTAATATAATCATTTACCAAAGACTTTTTTTCTTTTGATATATAGTAGTATTATTTTATTTTTCCAAAGTCGACTATTTTTTTAAAAAAATTATTGATCATGACACGTCTAGTCAGGTGATCATCTTTTTTTTTGTGATATCATCCATATTTTAAACTAACTTTTGTGAATTAATTATAGTGATGTTCTTTAAGCAGATGTATTACGTCTAAGATGATGCTTAATTATATCCATTTGAAAAAATTGTAAGTATTTATTATACTATTCGTTATTTATGTATTTTAGGCTGCGTCTAACAAATTCTACTGTTTTCTCTTGACCCACAATTAGTATAGTTTTATTAGGACCCTTATTACTTTCCTTCGCGTTCAACTCAAGTTTTATGATTCTTATACGTACATTGGGATTTAAATCGAAAGTGGTGAGGATACCTAGTACATACAGGGCCGTATCTGCTGGCAATGGGCTCCCAGACTGTCTATTCCCTTATTGGTGTACTTAAACAAAATGTTTATCTGGAAAATCTGACCTAGAGTTCTGGTAGTGCTAATGGGTGGCCCGCTCGAGAAGAAAATTCTCAAATACATCAATTTATGTTTGGTTGGTCAGCCTAGTTGCGACAGTGCCTTCCATCATTTATGAGTGTGTTTGGGACCAGAAGCTAGGTAGTTAGAGTTCCTCGTTATGAGGTCTGGCGATACTAGGTTTTCTTAGGTTCTTATGATCCATTATTTAATACCCCAATGTTTCGTATTTGAGAATTAAAGCTCGAGTTTGGTGGATATTTTTCTTTTAATTTCCCTTACCCTTTTAATTAGATTATAGATTTTTTTCGCTAATTTTTATTTCTGTATCACAAAGTTTTTTTTTATTTAATAACAAGAGTTTGCAGACGATGAATTACGTGAAATATTAAGACCACTATATTCAATATATTAAAACCAAATTGCAGGAAGGCGTATGACAATTTAAATTAGAAAATGATACCTTTTTCCAATAAAATACTATACTTTTTGCAAGAGAAAATTTCTATTTTAATTTGAGAATTCTAAATGATAAAGTGATTAATCCTCAATCATTTTTATTAGATGCAAGTGAAAAATGAAAGTTTCGGAGAGTCACCAATCCAACTCCAAAACTTTCTCCGTTCGTTCCATTTATAATCAATTTTAATTTTCATAAATTTATTTATAATTAAATAATCCGTGACTTTAATTCGCGTAATTTAATAATTATTTTTTAAACCAGAGACGCAAAAAATTATATGGAACAGATAAATATCCCATCTTTTGATACCCTCAAAGTTACTGTACATTAAAAAAAGTGTGAATTTGTATTTTTTTTTCCAAATGGGTTATAGCAATCTCCACTAACCCGATAAAACTAATTTTATTTCATAGCTGAATAATTAGTGATCAAAATATTTCGTACGACCTAAAACTCAAAAATTTCTTCAAAAAAAAATTTTTTTTTAATAGTAAAATTTTTGAAATGAAGTTACAATCTTTAACACGCCTAGTAAGTTAAAATTTATAATGCTTTATTTCATTCAAAAATTTGTTTAATAAAAGACGACGAATAACTTTATGTCATACGTTGTAGGTTACTTTAGGTAGAACGCTTACTTCTAATACAATAATTTCTTCATTTACAAGGAATGCAAATAATGGCATAAGCTCTTCCTTTCCTTCGATTTTATGCAGACAGATTTCAGACGTCATGAAGAAAACGTTGGATGAGGTATCATTTTCATAAATCATTAGGTGTTCAAAATATCTATTTTACTATTTTTTTTTTTTTTTGCTGATTTTAAATTCATTCACAGACTGTGCATAAGAATGAGGTTGTTTTGTTCATGAAGGGCACTCCCGAACTTCCAGAGGTAAAGTTAGAGATGTGATTGACTTCTAATTTTAAAAAATATATCAGTCATACTTAATTGTTTATTTAAAATTGATTTATAGTGCGGATTTAGCAGAGCTGTTGTTCAAATTTTCCAAGTTCAAGGTAATATATATAAATTCATAATTCTTTATGTATGATTATTATTATAATGTCTTCTTTTTTTTTTAGGTGTGGATTTTTCAAAGATCAAGACATTCAATGTGTTAGAAGATAATGAATTAAGACAAGGTGTAAAAGAATATTCGTACGTACAAGCGGAAAAGAAAAAGATTCTCTGAAATGCTTTTGTAAAATTTGGTTAACATTGAAATGTATTTTTTTTTCTTATTTCTTTCAGACAATGGCCGACTGTTCCACAAGTGTATATTAAGGGAGAATTTGTTGGCGGTTGTGATATCATGCTCAATATGCATCAATCCGGAGAATTAGAAGAGTTATTATTGAAACAAGGATTAATTCCAGAAGAAAAGAAGGAGTAGTTCATTGGTTGTATATGATCTGAAAGAACAATTGTTAATCCATTACCGCAAGAATGGATATCACATTGAACAGTACAAAGCATTATTTTGATTGGAAGAAAAAAATTTTTTTTTTATTTATATAGTTAGAAATATTTAATACATGTGTAAATCTCTAAATCGATATTATAGATATATATATAAGAATAAATAAATATAATCAATAATATTAAGATACATTCGAATCTACGTGTATAAATAAATAAATATATATGTATATGGAAGAACAATTATGTATATAGGAATTTTACATTCTACACCAAACAACACGATTCATCATCTCTTCTTATGTGAATATACGTGAGTAGTAGAAGCAACATTAACATTAGATTTACGAAGTTTATCGACGATCTGATATACTTCATAATCAACCACTTGAAAAACCAAATTACTTGAATTGGAAGATTTCCAATAAATAGATCGTTTGCCATTAGGAAAAGCCAACAAGTTATCATCACCAAAGCAAGGACCGTTACCAGATTTTTTATGTATGGCAAATCTACCCAATCTAACGAAATCCGCTTTTCCATTATCAAACTCAAAGATAAAACTATCGTTAGTTGCGCGATCAAATTTCCAATCAAGAGGATTATACCCCCCATATATTTCGGTAGAATTGTTGATCTTGAATACAATCACAGTCCTTTGAATGTTTCCACAACGTTGATGAAACAAATCAGGTGAGAACCCGTCACGTTGACCTCGTAAAACCAATCGAAATTCATAAGGGATTTCCGCAGGTCGATAAATGATGTCATCTTTTCTATCAATCCAACTTGTAAGTAAAGTGGCATGACAGATATTAAGTATAGTGTTATTAAATTGTGTGGAAATAGGTGATGAGATCACCGTAGACGACCCACACGCATTCTTCAATTGTTGCCTTAATGCCACATCAAATTTTTCGGCGGGTAAAAAAGGTTCACATGGTATCAATAAATCATGAAATTCATTCCAATTCATTGACATGATACTGTTCCAGGGAATGCATTGACTTAAGGTAATCTTGAACTCGTTCCAATCCTTTTTATTCCAACCCGAAACTTGATTTCCCAATTTAGGTATTTGAAATCTCGCCCAATTAACGATAAACCCCCATAATGCTTCGTTTAATTTAATGTACTCGCAATAATCGAGTGATGTCAAAATATTTGGGGAAAAGCTGGTTTGGGATTCAAAAATTGATAGTGGGTCATACGCAATCTTTGAAGTGTAATGAATCTGAAGTTTTTGTAAAGAGTCATGATTGTAAATCTTTTCATGATAATTAATGAAATTTTGATCCATCCATTCGGTTTGTCGGTGAATTAGATTTTCTTGAATATGCTCTAAAAGTTCAAACAATTTTAATTCTTCCGCCGCAAAAAGGAGATCAAAACATTCTTTCCCACTACAATTCAGCAAATCAACTTTACCACTATAGATGTATCTAATAAAAAAAAAAATAAGAAGAAAATAAAAAGAAAGATAAGAAATGATGAAAGGATTAATTTGGTTAGGTCACAAGTTCAACAAGTAAACATCTTGGTTTCACATACTTTAAAATAATATCGAATATCGGAGGGGAAATGTTTGAATTGCTAAGAATAATTTTATCATATGCGGCCTTAACCTTCTTGCTAGACAATTGATTTTGATACCAAGATGACCTGGTTCGAAGAATAAGTGAATGCGCTGGAAATTCTTTTACGTTATCCCCTTGACCCACACGAATGATCACATCATAAAAAGCCGAGGTATCAAATAATTGCATGAGATCGCGAGACAATTTGGTGAGTAAATGAAATGACATGATTTTTATTATTATTTTAATCTTTTGATAATTATCATATAAGGAAACGAGAAAACAATCGATTGAGAGAAAGAAGGGAAAGGGAAAAAAAAAATGCAAAAAAGGAAGGTGAAATATGGTTTAATATATATCTCTTGTTGTCCAATAACATATTATTGATTTAATGCATACAACTGTAACAAATCAATGCCCACAAGCTTCTGGTGCCACAATCCCATTTTATATCTCGATATATATTATTATTATTTTAAATGCAAAAAAAAAACGCAGGGTCAAAAAAACAATTATGTAACGTACGGATTAATATAGAGTACATGTGACTCAAACTTATCTCTACGAATACGTAAATATTTTAATACGGAAATATTCAACCAACGAAATATAAAAATATTTGAATACGGAAATATTCAACCAACAAAATATATACATATATATATAATGCGTATACTGTAGAAATACAATCATTTAATTTAACTAATTATATTAAAAATATCCAAAAAACCAGATTATGAAAGAAACTAGATAAAGACAATGAATGAATGAGATAACCTAAATTTTTGGATTTTACGTGATTAATCTAACCTTTTTTTGGAATTCGAGCGGCATTTTTTTATGTGCGCCCAGAAATCAAGTTACAAACTTGTACTGAAAAAAAATATATTGAAAAAGGAAGAAACTTTAAATCAAATCATTTGTTTGGATATATCGCGTGTTAAAAAAGCATCTTTATGATTATCTTTACTTAAAAAGATTTCATTCTTTGAACTTTGTTTTTTTTTGTGCACACAGTTTGGTATGATTAAACAATCAACTTGGAGGTTATTCCATTTTTGAATGACATTTTTAGTTGATGTAAATTATATAGTCATTTCATCAGATATAAAGTCGTGTTACTTTTCTAAGACACCAGAAATACGCCTATAAATCAAACACATATTCGTCAACTCGTGCCAAAATATATAATGTCGATCAGAAGCTACTTCAGTAGTTGCTTGCCTATACCTCATCAACTCCCAAATCCAATCCCATTTAATTTGCGATGATAAAGTTTTGGGTTTTTAGGAATAGAATTTGGGATGGGCCCATACCTAACAAACATGATTGAATTCTACCACGTGATTTCAAAGGAACAAATATTATAATTACTGTAATTAAAATTTGAAACTGTACTAATTTAATTCTTTTTAAGCAATAAAATGTTCCGCTCCGCGACATCTTTAAAGAGGAGTCAATGATCGAAATTACATTTATTGCAAATTGAAAAAAAATTGTTTTGATAAAATTTTTTACTTTCCAATTTTAACTAACTATGAATAAAAAATTTAATTTCATAGAAAACCTATTTGGCAATTCGAAATTCTATGATTATGATTTTTTTTTAGACTGAAACCCATTTTCTTAAATTAAAAATTTAATCGAATTCGATTAGGCCATTTTCGGTTCAAAAAGTTTTATATGTTTTTTTAAAAAAAAAAAAAAAGCCCGGGTCATCGGGTCGATTTTTAAATTTCAATGTAACGTGAACCGAAAAAAAATGAATTTTTGTTTAATTACGACATTTAACCGATGAAATGATCGGTTACTAGAATCTTGCTCATCGCCTTCTTGATTAGAATCTTTTATACAGCTTCCTATCGAGATTAATGCTCCGCATAAAGCCGCGATAGATTGCGAGTCTTATAAACCGGAACGAGCTTCGGCTCGGTATATCATACGATGGGCACGAGTCAAAGTCTAAGCCGGCTAAAGCCGACATATGCGGAGCATTATTGTAAAGAGCTTCTGTCCATTGTCAAATCTATAAAATGTTTGATTGCATTTATCATCATGGTTGGTATCATTTCTACGTCTCACGATAAATTATTATATTTGTGCAATTTTTATACGAATGGATGAAAGAGTCATGTCTCGATCTTGATATATAGCGTTAAAGACTTTTATAAATTGCAAGTAATAATGCTTTGCGTCTGTCGTAAGAATATTTTGTTCTATGAATGCATCATTACAATTTTGTTCCTTCCAATAATAACTCGTGAGTTTACACTTTCGATATCGGATGATTTTTTTTTTGAATTAGAATTTCGAGAGATGTGCGATGGATTTTCCACGTGGTTGCTTTTTTCTTTCTTGTAAAGGTATCTAAATTTCAACCCATTGGGTTCATGGTTTTAACCAATGTAATTCATGATAACTGCTTAGTAATTGGTTGAGATGTATGCAAATGTATCAAAAATATCTAAATAATATTCGTAATATTAAAATAGGAATTTCCGTGTATAAAAAAATCTGCGATTGGACCTTGAAAATTTAAAGTATAATGTTTTATCCCTTCAATTTAATTTTGTGATTTCCTTTTTCTTTCGGACGGGACCAATATGACCGTTCGCATTTGTTTGTTTTTTTTTTTTTTTTTTTAAAAAAAAAAAAAATAAATAAATTATTATGAATTTCTCATTTAAAAAAGTGAAAATGGCTTAACCTATGCAAATATTAAATTGGTGATACAAACTTTGACGTTAATTCGTTAAAAAATACCCACTTATAGTTGATAATAAAAAGAAACTTTAAAACACATCTGGAACTTGTACCTTGGTAAAACTGGAACTTTCGGGATTTTTCTGAATCTGGATTTCAAAATTTCCAATATAAATGATAAAGAATTCCTTTTCTTTCATATTTTTTTTTCCTTTCAAAAAAAAAAAAAAAGAAAGGTTTTCATTTTCAGCCCATATATAATTTCACTCACTTATTTTACCTACTTAAAATCCATCTTTAATATGGGGAATCATTTAGAGAAACCTGAAGAAATTTTGAAAGGCATCGAAGCATCACACTTTGTTAAGAAGTTAAGAAAGGCAATTATCAAAGATAATCATGGTGTTTGTCAAAGGGAAAGTCAAAGTCGAGTAATCCTGGATAATCGCATTCGATTAAAACCCGTTGAAGAATTGATGCATTCTTACTATCGATTTATCTGGAACAGTAACTTTTCTTCTCCTGTGGAACAAAAGTTACAAAGTGGGGCGAATGTACTTGACCTCGAGTATGTATAATTATATTCCCTATTTCCTTTTTTAAATTCCTTTGGTGACACTAATTAAAACTTTTATCTAAAGATGTGGTTTTGGGCAATGGCTTATAGATCTTTGTAACGAATATCAAGCGTGCGATTATGTGGGTATCGATTATGAAGGAAATTTTCAAAGTCAAAACAACGTTCCAAAGAATTTAAAATTTCGCAAGCATAACATTCTTAATGGCATTCCGTATGAGGATAATACATTTGATTTTATTCATATGCAAATCATGATGAATTCATTTACGGACGCTGAATGGAAAACCCTTATAGTGCCAGAAATTTTTCGAGTTTGTAAACCTGGTGGTTGGATAGAAGTATGCAACTATTTTTAAAAAATCATTTGCTTCGTGTGACTGTGACTGACCGTTTGTTAAACAAAATAAACTCTCTTCTATAAACTTTAGATCATGGATTCGGATTATGAGGTTTTTAACATAGGACCTAAAACGGGATTTTACTACCAAATGTGTAAGAACGAGTTGTCTGAAATTATCAACGCAATGTTTATATGTTTTGCCCCATTTGCTAATCTAATATATGTCGAAATCTCTAAAAAAAAGTTTTAAGTGTTATCGACATCAATCAAAACAGATCATCTAATTTGAATCAATTGCAAGACATCATGAATGGATATCAAGAACTTGGCTTTACAATTATTAAAGAAAAGATAAGCGCCTGGTATCCAATTCACCCTCAAAATTCCGATGAGACTTTTGAAATCGGTAAAAATTATGGTTTTAAAGATATTTGACATTTTGAAATGCTTGCTTAACCGAATTAAAAAAATATTCAATTATTAGTGCCCGAAATCCTGAATTCGCTGTACCCATTCATGTCAAATTCATCAGAATTCAAAATCAATCGTGCGGATTACACGAAATTATCGCAGCAAATAATTAAAGAAATTGCTGATAATAAATCATATAGTAAAACTTATAGGATGATAACGCAAAAGCATTTATGATAAACATTAAGATTTAATTTATTGTTAATTTATTTATTAATTTACTACTTTTTCTTTGTACATATCATATTTATATTTAATTTTTTTCCGCCCTGTAGTTATTCAAACATGCATATGATACGTCTTGTTGTATTGAAATGTATTGAAAACATATACCTTAAACATATGATGTTATCCTTTAAACAAAAATTAGAAAAATCAAGTTGTTTCCCGGAAAAAGAATAAAATGGAACTGCACGCCACAATTATCATTGTGATATAAATTTGGATGACCTTTTTATATGCAAGCAAAAAACAAAAAAAAAAATTTAAATAAATAAATAAATAATTTGTGATGATAAAATTCATTATTTCCTTTATTTACCATGTTTCAATCTACTTTAATTGTTTGTAATAGATTTCAATCTTTAGAACCGAAGGCAGGGTCGAAAAAATGATTATCATGATTATTTTTATTATGAAAAAAAGGAAAAAAAAAAAAGAATCTAAATATCGAATAGCAAAGCGAAGTCCAAGGAAAGAAAAAAAAATAAAAGATATATTTTTTACAGTAACTACGATAAGCGATCATAAATTTATTTGGGAACGAGTGATCAAAATGTGATTAGCAAAGAACGAATAAACATTACATTTTCTAGATAATGCATATTGGGAAAGAGAATATTAAGTGGAACGATGTTTCTGACACGATACACGAACACGCACATATAATTAATAAATGTGGTTTAGGTCGGAAGATCCGAACAGCTAATTAACGATGTAAAAAAAGAAGCTAAATAGCCAAGAAAGGTTGAAGTTTATATTTCGTGATAATTGAAATGCATGCCGCTGCGGAAACAGATCTAGTGCATTACAATTTTTTTTTTCGCAATGAACGAACTTTGCCTTAATTACAAATCTTTTTACCTTTTTGTTATTTAAGCAAAATAAAAAACGATCCGAAAATTCGGCAAGTTAGTTTATGATTAAGACTCATTTGGTGTGCACAAGATGCAAGCAAGTTATATATTTGCATTTGATGCATTTTTATAGAAACAATGTTTATTAACGTTAATAAATGTAACATGGCTCTAGTTATCCTAATTCGGCCTAAACATTTCACGTTTTTTAATTTTTTAATTTTTTTTTTCCTTTTGTTGAGAGTTTCCCACCAAAGGGTTTCATGTTAAAGAAAGATAAGAATGGATTACCTTGTCGAAATTATTTGTCTAAAAAGAAATTGTCAATCCTTAACTTTCAACTATGAGAATGGCATGATGCACCTAATAGAATCTAAAACTTTGTGCAACTCAACCAAATAGTGCTTTAAAACTTCATCGAATTAATAATAATAATAAAAAAAAGATCCCCTCAACCGTCTCTTTTCTTTTTAATTTTGCATTTTAAAAATAACTTTCTTTTATTTTTAAAAAAAAAATCAACTTGGCAAATTCCATTAATATATTTTTTTTTTTTTTATATCCATCCACGTAATACAATTTAATTTATGATGAATCATTGGTGAGGTATTTTATGAGAATAAAATTATAACCCATACAAGTCATTAATCCATGTAAATCCAGATTATTTGTGTTGATTAATTATTATTCGAGGAAAACAAAAAACCTTACATTCGATTGACGCATTGAAATTATTATTTCTGCAATAATATTTTTATTACGCTTCTACCTCTGGACTTGGTGTAACATCTCGTTTTACTATAATAACATACGGCCCATGGCGCAAATTTAAAAAACATTTAATTTAAGTAAAAAAAATTAAAATTTATTAAAAAATCTTTTCGACAACTTTCAGCGTGCTGAGGTTTACTTGATGATAACGTCAGGTGAGGGGAAATAAAATATAATTTTTCCGTCTACTTTTGAATAATCCTCGTTGAATAATTCTGTAAAAATAATTTACCAAGTGTTATTTATAAACTCTTTTTACAGAATTTCCTCCTTCATTAACATCTCATCCTAACTCGATTTCATTTTTTTTATTTTTATTTTCATTCTTTGACGTCTTTTTTTGACTGGCTCCGTATCCTTTATCAGAATAGAACATCTATTTCAATCTTTCGTAAATTTCACGATTGGTCATTGAAACATTTATACCTTAACTTTGATTCCTTTGAATTCCTAAAACAGAAAGATTATATTCATTCATAATAATCCGGGAGTTCGACTAAAAAATACCGTCAACTACAGCTCCAACTGCTGTAAAGAAAAAAATTTTGCAATCTTTTTGATTCCTTGGTACGTGTCAACCCCCTAAATTCATGAAAAAAAGAACAAATCTCTTCTTTTCAAATAAGTTGAACGGCTGGCACATCCTTTAACGAAAAAAATTTCTCACTTTTATTTAGTCTATAATGATAATATCTGAAATGATTCCATCAATAAAAGAGATAAATCAAGAACCTGTTCGTCGTTTATCTCATACGAGGTCATCCACGTCACCATCCTTCCCTGATATTGAAAGGAATAACAGAAATACTTTTTTAAAAGAAAAGAATTCTCGTAGGTATGCCACGTATGAACTTAATTGGCATAATTTTAATAATACGGATGATCACGTTGTCATCGAGGATTCGCAGGGTGCATTTCCTGAACCAATGATAATACAAAAGTCAACTTCACCCACGACCTCCGTGCAAGAATTTTTTCCTTCCCCTTTCCCTTCCCCTACTTCAATAACACCATCACCGTCTCCAATTGAGGCTACATCAACAGAAACAGAAAACATTGATAATGAAAATGATTCTGATTATGAAGGACGACGACAATCTTCAATTTTCGGAGGGATAACCGTAAAAACGGAAAAAGTGGTTCATGTGTCCATTTCAAGGCACAATTCATTACAACCCTCTCGTCGATCTTATACACAAGATTACATTTTAAATAATAATAATGATATCATGCAAGATGGTCCGGAATTAATTAGCGTTATTACAAAAGGTTACCCAGAAAAATCCGTTTCTAAAACTCCTTTGGAAAAAAAAAAAGCTCCTGGTATAAAAGAATTAGATAATACCGAGAATGAATCACAACAACAAAATCCGCATCGCATAAAACAAAATAATTCAGCACATTTGATAAAGGAAAGAAGGAAAACTCGAATATATAATAATGAAATTAAAATTATAAATAGTGAAAGAATATTAAGAAGATCATTGTCAAACGGCGTAGTAAGAACCTCGTCCAAACTCCGCTCCAGTGCTACAATTTATAAAAAACAACATAAACAAAAAACACGACAAATTCAACGAGAAATAAAGACGGTAGCCGCACCAACATCTAATCTTTATACAAATGATCCGACAGACATGGAAGAAGATTATGATGTCATACCAAATCCAACCAAATTTTTCCCATGGATACCAGTCCCTGAAGGTCCACCTAGGTTAATTCACGCTTCCCTCATACCTTTGAGCCAGATTGATAAAGATGTAACCAGATTTTATTTTGAAGAAGAAATACTTGCTCGGTGTATATCAAAACGAAAATTCAGAGAACAAAATTCGGCTCCTAAACCGAAAAGACCATCTCAAATTTTTAGACAAAATTTATTGGAACAAAGCATTGCCATGTCATTTAATAATGATTATCGGTCTATACATAAAAAATCTTCTCTTATTGCCCCCAAACCTAAAAGATCACCTCAAGTCATCAGACAAGGTGTTGCCATGTCTCGACCTAAACGAAAAGAAACTCCTCTTCGTGCTCCCAAACCGAAAAGACCATCTCAAATCTTTAGACAAAATTTATTGGAACAAAGCATTGCCATGTCACTTAACGAAAACGTTCATGCATTTCGACCAAAACGTAAACAATCTTCTACTCCTAATGCTCCCAAATCAAAAAGAACATCCCAAATCTTTAGACAAAATGTTGTATCACTTGATGAAAATGTTCAACGTAAACAATCTCCTCCTCTTGATGCTCCAAAGCAGAAAAGACCATCTCAAATTTTTAGACAAAATTTATTGGAACAGAGTATTGCCATGTCATTTAATAATGACTATGCCGTTCGATCTATACGTCAACGAACTTCTATTCCATCGAAAACACCTAGACGTAGATTTTCAAGGAAGGGAAGTAATGCTAAATTAAATGGTAGGGATTCAAGAAGAGAAAGATATATGAAAAGAGCCGAAAAAATTATAAAAGAGGTCACTCAACGTCAGGAAGACAAAGGGCAACAAAAGCCAATAAAAATCTTGGAGATGCCAAAAATACTAGATATTGATGAATTGAACAAGAGAGTTGAAGAGCAACTTCGTAAAAATGCACGTTTACAGTCTCCCCAACCTCCTCCGAGACAACAAGAGGTAGAATTAAAGAAAGTCGATGTGCGAAGAAAGAGATCAAAAAGCATAACTCCATCTTTAATATCTTTACGTGAACGTTCAAATGAACCTTTGCAAGGAGAATCCCGGGCTCATTTATCTAGTCATCATATGTCACTTTACAATTCACCAATTCATATTCCTTTAGCTACACATATCGTTTCATCTGCAGTCTTTTAACTTGTAAATTTTAGTAACGGTGGACATTTGGCAACACTATAAACAAATTTTTTTTTTGTAAATTTACTTTTTTTCATCTCGTTTTATATACTATTTAATTCTTTATATTCATTCATTTTATTTATTTGTATTTTCTCATTTCTGTATTTCTTTTTTATTTTATTGTCTCCGATTATATTCGCTTAGAGTATTTCATCAGTAACTTAAAAGCTTACATATATATATTATTTATTAAACTGTCCCCCCTCCCCTCCCCCCCAAAAAAAATCTTTAAAAAAGATAAAAAAGATGAAGTAAAAAAAGTAAAAAATATATATATATATATATATACAATAAAAAAAAAAAAAAAAAGGTTAACAAGTAAAGTAATCACGATCCTCGGCTCGGCTTTTTGCCCTATGAAAAATAAAAGTCCGGTCTATCTTGATTCGAACAAATTCCGGATATATCGAAATCCGTCCGGATCTTATAAGGACAAATTCTGGACATTAATTTTTCATAGGGATTGAAACTTGAAAATAATAGAAATAGAAACATTCCAGAGTGGAATGGATTATTTTTCACCCTCGGGTCGGGTCGATAAGATATAAAACGATTATCTCATCCGATTTCGGCTAGCAAAATTACATAAGCGATATTTTATTTAGCGAGCCACTTTGACTTTCAAGTCTCAGTTCTTTTTTTGTTTTTTTTTTTTTTAGCCATTTCGTTTAATCACCATTCAAAGCCCAACTCTACGCTCATTTTTTTCCTTCTGCCGAATCTCAACACTCCTGAATAAAGGACGGATAATGATTCCGATGCAAGTATTTTTACAAGATTAAAAATTACTTTGCTTGAATGAAGATGGGCAAAAATGGTTGAAGTTATTGAAGGAATAATGAAATGAGATAATATCAGAGAAAGTTTGGTTGAACTTTTACAATGATTTTAATCACGTGAAATAGTCGTTGTAAAATGTTCTTTTATTAAAAAAAAAAAAAAAAAAGAATAACAATAATTCATGACTTTTTTAAACGATAATATTTAAATAAAAAAAAAAAAAGAAAGGAAAAAAGAATTAACACCCCACGGAAAATCTTTTGTAAATGGATTACGAAACCATTTTCAATTTAATTTTTTTTCAATTGATTTTTCAATTTGGTGAATTTTCGTAGCTATAGCCGGTTTATTTAAAGCTGCATGAACAAATGCACCTAAAGATTGGAAATTCAATGAGCTCATATTTTTGCGTCCTTTTAAGGAAAATGCTCTTTTATAGAACTTGCCTAAATGATAAACTGCAATACATAAACCAATACAGGCGAAATAACAACCAAAACGTTGCGGATCTTCCAAATCATTCAACAAAGGATAAGGCCATTCACCAAAGGTAATAAAGTAAAAATTTATCCAAGCTATGTAAATGAAACCAAATACAAATATATAAAGAATATGAGTGTAAGATTTTCTAAATTCCTTTGTGAAAAATAAGAAATCTGTCCATAAGCAAACTGCTGGAATCAAATGAAATCCCAAATCAATAAATATCGGTAATCTATTAAGTGAAGGAGGAAAAAAAAAGGAAAAAATTAGGTTACAAAGAAAAATATGGTTAAATACAAGTGCGTTTACCTTGGTTTTGTCAATAATAACTTTTCATCGTAAGTTATAATGGTCCAATAAAGAACAGCAATTAACCCTTCCAATGGTACACAGACAACCATAAACCAATCCTTCAAGAAAGATATCACTAAATGATTAAAGGAAAGTTGGTATCTTTACTGTAAAACAACACGAGAGTTCATTGCAATATTACCCTTGACAGTGAAGAAGTCATAAAGTAATGCAAAAATAAAAGCGAATAAAGAAAAAAGTAATCCGACTATTGTCAGATGCTATTAAATTTCAAGAATGTTAACTTTTTATTTTACACATCTCTTTCACGATCAATTCTTATACTTTACTGCACTTACAGTGAATTGATAAATTAAAGTGTCTGATCTTTCTAAAGAAGGTAAGATAATAAATGAGTAGCTAAAAGAAGCAATTCCAAGTGCGTGAAGGATCAATTGATAATTGATTAGCTGATTTTTATTCATCTTTTCTTGATTTTTAGGCGAAATTGAGGGTAAAGAGGTTGTGGGTAAAAAATGTAAAGAAATGAATATCAAATGACACTTTTATTATTAATCTTCCAAATATAGATATAAGAACGGTCACGAGATTTAATTAGTATTATAATGTTAAGATCTGATTGACAATACATATGAAAATTTGTAAATTATATAACTATCTCACATAGTTTTTCCGAACGATTTTATTACCGAATTCATCCTAATGTATAAAATTTAAAACTTTGCACGTCGTCATTTTGTAGGAATTGAGAATGGAACAGAAAAAGGGCTTGATCAAAAGTAATTTTAAAAAATTGAAAATTGGTAAATATTGATCAAAGCGATCGACAACGTTGACTAAGCCGCGCGGATCATTCGAAAATTGAAGTTTATTATATTTTTTTCCCGTATAATCTGATTGATCTTATACAAGTTTTATGCGAATTGATTTCGTAATCAATCATTTTAGAAACCTTATTTTTATATTCGTTAGCACTTATATTCATATCAGGTTGTATTATAGGTTGGATAGATCGGTAGAATGCAATGACATTATCTTTAGCCTAATGTCATTCGAGAGAGAATAAATTTATTCAAATTCTGTTTCTAATCGATCATATCAAATAAAAAAAATTTAAAATATCGAAATTACCAGGTTGCCTAAGGTTCCACCCCAAGAACCACATGGAATAAGCTGTTGTTGACGCGCCAAATTTGTTAATTTGTTTGTGTTTAGAAGTAATTGAGGTAGTTGTTGAGATATCCTTGGATTTATCGTCAAAGAATTTAAAGATGAAAATATCGATCCTTTCAATTCAGCAGAAATTTCTCCTTCATTATGAAATTGTAAATCGGTCTCCATCAATTCAATCCAACCGCCACGTTTTGTTATCCTACATAGTTCAGTCAATACATTCGACCATTGATATTCTTTAAGTGACAAATCCATAAATCTTTGATAAACGAAATCAAAGGAATTATCGTTAAATGGTAATTGACATAATCCGTCATTATTAAATATATTCATTTGAATGAATTTTAGGTTTGAAGGTTTAATATGTGAAGGAAACATGGGACAAACATCAATTCCAATGAAATTAACTTGAGGAAAGTCTGATGCCATTTCGAGTAAAAATGTCGCTGGTCCACATCCCACGTCAAGAACCGTAACGTTACCATTGTTATCATTAAATAGTTCTTCTATTGGGCTAGAAAAATTCCCTCCCCATGCGTACCTGTAAAGATAATGTTGAGATTGTAATCTGGTTATTTCTTCATCATCAATTGGTAATAGATAATTACAATTCTCGTCGTTAAGAAACTTTCGATTATCAATATATTTATATTTATCATATATTGTTCTGATAGCATTACTGGCAGCATCAATTGTTTTAGTTTGATGTTTTCCTGAACTCACACAATTTCCCATTTTATATTTTTTTCTTTTTTTTAAAAAAAAAACCAAGGGAGATTTCTCAATTAATATATACTTGTAGAATGAGAATTTAGGTTCAGCCACAAGCAATTTTACACAAGAATTAACAATCAAGCCATGAATCTAAGAACAACGACGCCAAAAAAAAAAAAAAAAAAAATTTTTTGCTTTGTTTATCGGACTATTTGATATCTATCGATAAGAAATTATGCAATACTTTGTTCGTAAAGACCAATGACTATTACTCCACAAACAATCCATTTCTTTTTTATTAAAAAAAAAAAGAAAAAAAGAAAAATCATTAAGTAAAAATCTCATCATAAGACGTCAAAATTAATGAGATGCATGAGGATCTGCAACAAAAAAAAATTGTTTTTTATCATAATCACTAACCAAAATGACAAAATTTATTTAAATCGGTAATTTTCTCGTTCTAATAATACGTTAACGACTAATTCGGCAAGAAAAATCCACATTAATCGAAAGATTTCTTATAAAAAATGTTGAAGGAAAGATGTTCCTAAGCAAAAGAAAAGATTGTTATCTTGTGCAATTTTTCCGAATCATTGAAGATAATACAAACACAACTTGATTCTTTATGTTATTTATTTATCTATTTATTTATTGGTGTTAAATTACTTATGTATTAATCTACAACCAATAATAGATAATTTTTTCTTTATTAATAATTGCCCTTTTTTATAATACTTATACTTAATTTCCAATCGGAGTCAATTAACTATAAAATGTGTAATTGTACACGGTCAGAAAGATTTGCTGCGGTTCCAATTCTCTTAGTTATTTCACGTAACCCAAATCTTTTAAAAATCCGCCAGCTTTTTCGGGAGGACGAGCGATAATGGCTCTACCTTTATTCCAATCAACCAGAATAGGTCTTTGCAACCTAATAGGTTGTTCTTTAACGAGATTAGCTAACTCTTGAATTGAACTTGGTCCTTTTCCCTTGGTTGCTCCTTCGGCAGCAACATTTTCATTTTCGTTGCGTAAGATTTGATTTAAATCATTTTCAAGATTAAGATAATGAATAATATTTGTCAATTGATCTTTAGTAGGAGGTTGTTTTTGGTAGTCCAATAAATCCAATATAAAGACACCTGGTTGTTTTTCTAACGCTTCATGAAGAATTGATAAGACCTTGTTAGATTTACTACATATTGGATTATAGATTAATGTCAAAATTGGTTGCGCAAAATTTAAACGAAACGACATTGTGAAAAGAAGTGAGAGCTTTGGAAAAAAAAAAAATAAATAAATAAATAAAAAAATAATACCCCCTTTTTAAGGCCAATTACACAAACATTATGCAATTTCATGTGACTCTGTTGAGGTGATTTGTGATATTTGGTATGCGACATTTGCAAATCGATCATGTGACCTTCTTATTGCTTTTTAATTTTAAATAAAATTCTAGATGGCTACAGAACCTGCTCCCGTAGCAAAGTGGCAATGCGTCGTGCTTATAGGTTAGTATCCTATACTTGAGCAACGCGAAGGTCGCGAGTTCGATCCTCGCCGGGAGCACATTGATTTTTTTCTTTTTTTGAAAAATGGTCAAGATTTACTACTGGTGAAACTGTGATATGCGTGGCGTTTTATAAACATTTCACAAAATAAATTTTTTTTTATATTGATTTTTTGTTTACATAACGATAAGAAATACTGTATATAATCTTATAATCTATCTATAAATAATAAATGATACTTCAAAATATAATAATATTCTTTCTTATGATCCTATCATAAATAAAAAAACTCTGGCGTGGAATTAAGGATAAAACTGCAAAATAAAAAAAATCTTTTATCATTTCTTTATGAAATTGTAAACTTGCTTAAAATAATGATTTGATTCATAGGGAACTTGAATAACAAACAAATTTAGCATTTCACCACGTTTAGGAGATGTAACATGCAAAATTTTACTGGCCTTAAAATATTTCTTTAATTAGTAAATAAATGATGTTGATTGATACAAATCAAAATCAACTAAAGCTCAAGATAACGTCAAAAGCAAAGGACCAGTGGAATGGTTGCAAATAAAAAACAAATTTAAGAAAACTTTATTTTTATTTTCTTTATTGGGAATGAATTTTTTCTGCACTCAATGTATTTCAAAAGATAAATAAATTGGTTCTTTTATTTTACTTTGATAATATGGCTGAGAGTTTTATCCCGATCAAATCTCGATGTTTAGACCAATGTGCTCGCGTGTACGTACACAAAATTATTTTGTGTACAAATAATGCACACTATTTATTTAATTGGCAAAGATAAATTTTTACAAAAGCCATTTTACTTCCATTATGTTTTGTACGTTGATTTTTTTGTTTTCCTTGATAATGATTGATGTTAATAAACTTTTGGCGATAATGCATCAAATGAATATCTTTCTTCCATTTAGAAATACTGAAATAACATAAAATTTTAAAGTCAAAGTTTTAAAATTAATAGCCGCAGAGATCGGCGTCTTTATTACTGTCACCAGAAAAAAGGTGGTCCAATCATACAAATATTTACTGACCGAAAAAATACTAATCATATTTTTAAGATAATTGAGATTGATAAAGTAATTAATATATACATTTGTTGTTTGAATAATAAAATGCTATTTGAGTTTTATGTGCATTTACATCTATCCTGCAACATAGCGTAAAAAAAAAATTTATATGCAGGAAAATATGGTGCCATTATTAGCTCAACAAGCTAGAATGGTTGGAAAAAGAAATCATTGGTTTTCTACATTATTAATGAATGATTTTTTTGTGTTATCATCCGATATGATTTACTATATGTTTTATTTTCAGCAATTTCAACAATCGTTTGCGCTGATAATTGGGTATAATCTTCACGATTTAATTCTAGACGTTTTGCTATGCATGGATAAACTAAATCTAGAAATTCGCTTACTATTAAACAAATAATAACAAAAAAGAGAGATAATGAGTTAATTAATTAAATGCATTTTTAAATTGATAATTATCTTAAAAATCAATTTACCGATTTCGTAAGGCTTATCGGAACATTTAGTTTGAATTGGATACCAAGGGCAAATTTTTTCTTTAATAATCGTAAAATTAAGTTCTTGATATGAATTCACTATATTTTGTAATTTTTTCAAATTAGGTATTTTATTGGAATTGATTCCGATTGCGCTTAACCCTTTTTTTAAAAAAAAATAAAAAATAAAAATAAAAATAAAAATCAGTAAATATTTAAAGAGTAATATAATATCAAGCGTAGAATAGTAATTCTTACATTTTTTACTGCAAAGCTCTGTTTTGGGTCCAGCATTATATATCCTAAAATCTGAATCGACAATCTAATCAAAGTTGTAGCAAAAACGATTATTAGTTTTAAGTTTACGTGAAAGCAAAGAAAACAAAGAGAATTGAAAAGAATGGTTAAAAAAAAAATATATTCACATACTTCAATCCAACCACCAGGTTTGCAAACTCGAAAAATTTCTGGCGCAATAAGGTTCTTCCATTCGACAAACGTAAAGTATTTCGTCATAATATTCATATAAATGAAATCAAATGTATTATCCTCATAAGGGATACCATTATTAAGAAAATTATGCGTAATAAATTTTAAATTTTTATTTTCATTTGAAATAAAAGTTTCCTTTTGACCTATCCCCACAAAAGAGCTTCTTGGATATTCATTGCTAAGTTCCTTGAGCAAAGATTTGGTGCCATATCTTTTTGTAAAAAGAATTATTTGTTAATTCAATGAGGAATTTAAACAAAAATTTTCTAAAAAAAAGATTGATACATACCCAAGGCCAAGCACTTTTGCACCATTATGTAAATTCTTTTCTACTGGTGAGGAAAAATTGCCCTTCCAAATAGTTCGTTGGAAAGAATGCAACAAATCCCCAATACCATTCATTTGATTATCTTTAAGTACTTCATACTTGTTATTAAAAATTTGTCTTCTAAGTTTTTTTATAATACATTTGGTTTGTAATGTTTCGATATAATCAAAACAGTCTCTAGGTTTTTCTAAATAATTTCCCATTGTAATATATATCCGAATTTAAATATATTAATATAATATTTTTTTTTTTAAAAAAAAAATTATTATTTGAATGAGTTTTTCAATCGGAATGAACGCTTTTTTATATCAAAACAGATTTAATATAATTGGTTCCAAGTTTTTACTTACAGTAAGAATTTATATTGGGAATCAACGATTAGTTGTCAATCCGATCGGCAATCGGAAGAAAGTAAATACAGTTAGCGGCTCAATGTACAAGCGAATCTCTTTCATCCGAAAAAACTTCTTTGGGGAACTTGCTAAGAAAATTTGAGAGAAAAAGGATTTAAAATTGATAATCTTGAGAATCAAAAAAGATTTTTCGCATAAAACTTTAAAAAGAAAAATGATTGTGAAAGCTTTGTGAATTACAAGGAGGATGTGCTCAAAAGAAGTGGATCATATCGGAAGTGTCCAATCATGTTATAAATCTGCAATTACTGACCCAGGTTATCCCATACATATATGATATTTTGGTTGAAATACTTTACTAGCGTGCCTATCCTCAAAACTGACGACACTAGGTCTAATCCGTTTCTACGCAATTCTGCTTTAGTGGAGGCCTTGATCAAACTGATTTGCCACTCTGTATCACTCGTGCATGATAGCATAGAGATAATCGAAGCGTTAACGATCCTATTGGTTTGTGGGAATGCATGTACTTTAACATCGCATAACGTTCGATCAAAGATATATTTGTTGAAATAATTGAGACGACGAGAGTTTTTTCCATATCGAATGCTCAGGTGATGGAAACACTTGAAAAACGTATTGGGTGGGTGGGTGAGTATTGGTAAACGTTTGAAAACATGAGATAATTATTTTATCTAAATAAAATTAAATTTTAAAATGTCGCTTAGCATCGTCAAAATCTTTATAATCAGCATCATATATAAATAATACACTAAAATTTCTTGAATTAGTTAGAGAGATTCAATAACTCTTAGTCATAAATGCATTAAAACCAATATATAACAATCAGCAAAGGCATTGAATCCAAGATATCAGCTCCATCCAATAATATAAAGCTGGCTGGTCGTGATTTACCTCGCATTTGACATATTCTAACTTAACTATAAAAAAAAAATTAATTCTAATAACTTTAAAGCAAAAAAAATAAAACCAACCATAAAATGGTCAATTGAAGCTATTAATAAGAATTCCTGTAATCAATGATACATTATGTCAACATAAATGGTATTACGTGTACTTATTATCAATAGAGGGAACGGTGAATGTCAAAATGATTTGAAAACCTTATAAACATTATGTAATGATTGATAAGCACAGACCATCAAATTTTCAATTCAAAATATTTTTAACTTTGTACCTATTATGCTTGCCTAAAATAAATTTAATTATATATTTATTTGGATACCCTATTGAATTCGTCTTTTAACTTTATAGGACGTTGTCGGCTACAATTTGAATTGACTAAATTTTACGGAAAATAAAAATGGATGGAGATTAAAGGGGCTTAACTGTTCCTTGAATAAATCGAACAATATAATGGTACAAGAATTTTTGATGAACAATAATATCGCAAGGATTTATAATAAATATATGAAATCTTTGATTAATTTCTATATCTTTGATATCATTACAAATTTGCAATTGTTAGAAATGTATTGTATTCAGAATCGTTAAATGCATTATCATGCAGTAAAAATGCAAAAAAGTTATAGAAGCTATTCGAAACGGTAATTGTTCATTTATGATAAGAAACGATAGTATATACACATCTGGCGATCTTTGAAAACATTTTATTCGTCTATCATGTAACCATCAGAGCGTTTTTCATATGCGATGGAAAAATTGACATTCCAATTCAAAAATTAAAAATTCGTCAGAATGTATAAAAAAAGATCTTTGACCCCTACTAATTTTCTATAAATATATAAATTGTTGAATATCTATTGAAACGATGAAATAGCAAATTAAATATTTTAAATTTTTATTTTTATAATTTAATTAATTGCCAAAATTAATTATGTGGCTTTCGAGATTTATTAGTGAATGATCAACAAAATATTTAAGCCAAAAATTTATTTTTAAAATAATCTACCCCTATTAGGGATTTATAATCAAAAAAAATTATCCAACTTTACTAGGGATTTATAATCAAAAAAAAAACCCCTAACTTTACTAGGAATTTATAATCAAAAATAAATAATCTATCTTTACTAGGGATTTATAATCAATATTATTTTATTATTATAATATTAAGGTTTAATTATAATTATTAAATGATATTATTAATGAGATCTATTAAATATTAACTTTTAAATAAAAAAGTTAGTGATATACTATTCTTTAATACTAAGATTAGGTTATAATACTATTCTATAAACTTAATACCACTCTATAATCTGAAAACTATTTTATAATTTAGATATTATTCTATGATTTGTTTACTACTTTATAATATAATTTTTATAATCTAATTATTACTCTATAACTAATATTTATAATATGATTAACACTTTATATTCTACTTACTTCCTTTTGATAACCATCTCTTTTATTTTTTGACTATTTCTTTAGACCTTCCTTATTGTTCATAATTTTATATTGATATAATTTATTATCACTTTATAATCTAATTACTATCTCACCCTTTAATCTAACTATTTCTGTTTTCTTATTTCTATCTTATTTAAAAGTTGAATTTTATATTAAGAATGCTAACCTTCTATACTTATTTTGATATTATGTTCTATATTAAGAATACTTATTTTTATACCTTTTTTATTGTATTATTAAAAATTTAGTTATATATTAGCAGCTTTTATCTTATTTTATTTTATAAAAAAAATAATATATTGGGTAATACAATAAAACCTGCTGCCATTTTCAATTAATTTATACTAATACTATAACATAATTCTGGCCAATCTTTAAAGTATATGATTTAAGAATTCAACTTGGTATTATACGTATTATACATGAAATAAAATAATTTTATTAATTCACTAATTCCATTTTATGTTAACTTAGATGCTGAGCTATCGTATTTAAAAATCTGGTAAAAATTATAGAATAGTGTTAGCCAAAATTATCGTTAATTTATTATATTTTAAGTTTTAAGTATTTTTTCATAAATTTTTCACTATCTTTTTAGGATATATTTACAATAGATGTATTATTTTACTATTATATTTCCAGTATTTTTAAAACATATTTTAAGTGTTTCTAAAATTTACTTTTGAAATTTCTAAGATATATTTTTAGAATATTACAAGCATTTTCTAGACCTGAATATAGTTTTATTAAAGTAATGAATATACCAATTTTAAAGTATTCTAAAGTAGAAATTTTACTGAATCACTTCTTAAGTCAAAATTTATTATAGAAAAAAATGTAATTTTTTTAATCCAGCTTGTTTTAGTATTATTTTTATTAGATGTCTTAGATATCTTAATAAAAAATAAAATTCATTTATATATAAGATATATATAAGATATATATTATATATGTATATAATATATACAATATATAAAATCTATGTGTATAATATGTATATATGCATACTAATTTTTGTATACATTGTCACCAGGAATAATCTTCTCTGATTACTTTACGTAATTTATCTAAGTTCCTTTACTGCGGTAAGTAACTTCCTTATCGTCAAACTTTACAACCTTAGGGAATCTTACGTCCTACAGGTATCCGAAGTGCTTAGGAATTACTTCACTGGGTTAACGAACTTAAGGGTTTAGGGACTTAGGAAATTTAGAGAATTTTTATATTCTAAGTGACGAACTCAATCGCAAGTTAGTGTAGTGGTTCACGATCAAATCCTAGATGATGGACACGTAGAA